TCACAACGCCGCCACTTATTCTGCAGCGGTCACTCAAGGAACTGCACGTAACATCTATTTTGGCTTCAATCGGCCATTTCGGAGCCGAAAAAGATACAGGGGAAAGGGCTACAGGTAGGGGTGTCGCGAACCGGCCGAGGTTCGAGTTCGACCAGGTTCGAATTTTTCGAACTTTTAGTGGAAAATTCGACAAACCTTGTATCATAGAGATCATGCATACTAACTGTAGAGGAAAAGGTCCGCCATTTTCCCATGCATTCTGGCTGCCGCAAGCGGCGGAGCATGCAGGCAGAATCTCGGTGTCCCACACGTGGTTACCAACTGTCTTCGATTCCACAAATATAATTATTATATCAGAGGAGTTTCGTGAACTTCAACAATCCACGAACTTACCGATAGAAAGATATTCGCGTTCCTTTCGAAGCTTTCTTTTTGCATAGCGCGCAAATGTACGGCCTCCCGTCAACACTAAACTAAACCAGATAACCGGCTTCGAGGGTGGCCACGCCCCGGGAATACGAAACCGCGCAACCACCAGATTTCCGAGATTTCGACAGAAGGGAAGTTAATGCAGCGTAATGAGTATGCCGCTTTTTATAAGCGTCAGAATACCTCAGAACTTAGTTTACAATGTTAAATTATCACTTTTTATATTGCTGAGAGTTTTCAGTCTTCAAGATTACCATTGCGTCTGTCGTCCTTCAGCTGGCAACATTGGTTTCTTTCTCTCGTGTTCTGTCGCCCTCTTTCGCGATCTTTCACTCGGGACCCAGGATGTCGGCGCGCGAAATTTGCCACCCCTCCTCCCCCACCTTTACCCCCGGCCTTGTATTGAGGTTCAACTCGTGTGCGCATGTGCGGCAGGCTGGCCAGTTGGCTTCGGATTGGATGGTGATGGCTAAGAAATGAATTAAAAGGCAGCGCTGATTGGTTATTACAGTTAATACAGTACAAAAAAATTAAGTTATTAACTTCTTTGGTGATTAGAATTTGTTTCTTTTAATCGCAACTGTTTATAAAATAACATAACCCTTTTCATAAAAAAAAAATTCTCCAAACAGACATGCTTGTATGGGGTCTGACCACACTGTCCACAAAGGTGTCGTCCACGCAAGGAGGTTAGAAGTACTAGGAAAGGGCACGTTGCAATATTGGTGAAGCCTAGTCATAAAAAGTTTAAAGGATGTTGTGGCCAACGTGACCGTAGATCTCTCTGGCGATTGGTGCGCGTGACATGTCACGTGTGAAATGGATGGTTGATTGTAGAAGGACTCCTTGCAGGCTTGCGCGCGCTCCGTCCGGTAGGTTTTATCAGATCGAATTAGCTAGCCTGTGGTGTATTCTAGTACCCCTTGGCTAGACGAAGGCTAGCTACGGTCACGTAATCTGGTCACGTTACCCTGGTAAGTGAGGAGAGCAAGGAGGAAAATGAAAAAGAGGCGAGGCGTCAAGGGAGCATGGCTTGTGGAGGCTACGCGGCTGGCGTCATGCCCTCCCCTACCCTTCCATCCTCTTTGCGTCCACGCCGAGAAGCAACGGAGGGAGGAGGTCGGCGCAGCAATGACGGCGCTCAAGGACGGCAGGGGGCGCTGCGGGTAACAGGCGTGCTCCTTCCCGCTCGGATTGCCGTGTTGTACTGCTTGTGATCGCGTGGTTCGCGTCGTCGCTTGGTTTTGCTGCAGTGTTTTTTTTTTTTTTTTTTTAATAATTGAGTGACAAGAATTGCGATCGGTGCCATTCAGTGGCTTGCAGACAACGCGTGCAATGACGGAAAAACGGCGGGACAAGAGAAACGGGACGTGTTTTGTGCCGGGGCAGTGATTTCCCTACATCCTTTAAGGGGGTGTATGTCTCGCGGGGAAGGAGCGACCAGCCACACCGGAGTCCGGAACCCAGGTGTTTTAATATAACTTCTCTCGAACTGAAGAGATAATCCCGAGCATGCGCACTAGCACGGAAGGAAGTACGCGTCGCCGCGGGGCACGCGAGTGTAAACTTCCGTGTCATCACTACACCCCCTCCTAAGTTTTACAAGTCTATAAGTACCGGTCGCCTAACTTGGCGGCCCGACCAAGTCACTCTTATCGGCGTATTGTCCGTCGACGTTGATGTAGAAGGGCAGTTCGTCAAGTTTGTCGGCGCTGCTGTTGGTACTGGCTCAACTGCGGTCGGCTGTTGTTGGCTCCCTGCACCCGGACTTGCTCTTGCCGTTGAGATCGCCGGACTGGCTGGAGCCGTAGTCTCATTGGTCGAACCGCCGGGATTCGGAGCGTCGAAGCCCGCCGGAGACGCATCGAATGGTACCAGGTGCCGGCGGTTGCGTTGCAGGACTCCTGTCCCGGTCTCGGCTACGTAGGAGCGCGGCCGCTTCGCTGGACTGAGGACTGTTGCTCGGGACCGCACGTCTTGCATTCACACGTCCTCTCCTACGGACAGCGGGCGTAGTTGGGGAGCGGCGTGAAGGCGATTGAAGTCCTTTCGCTGGCGTCTTCGGGCTCCCAGTATTTCCTTTTGAAGTCCCGACATGATGGCCACCCCGGCTGCAACGGCTCCGGCACCTTCGGTACCTTTGTCTGCAACCGTCAGCCCATTAGCAGTTGGGACGGGCTGTAACCGGTCACTCCAGGGGTGTCTCGATACACCAGGAGGGCCATGTGCGGCTTCCTTGACTTGTAGAACAGCTCTTTCATGGTCGGCACCATACACTCCGCTTCCCCATTCGCCTGTGGGTAGCGTGGGCTGCTCGTGACGTGCTGGAAACCGTAGCTCTGGGCGAACTCGGTAAACTGTCTCGAAAAGAACTGCGGCCCATTGTCCAATACCAGCACGTCGGGGATCCCAAACCGGGCGAATGTGCTCTTGACTGCTGCGACGACGGACGTTGACGTCGTCGACGTCAAGCTGATGACCTCTGGGAAGCGGGAGTAATAGTCCACGACGAGCACGTAGTGTCTCCCCTCGAGCTCGAACAGATCCCCACCGACTCTCTGCCACGGACGACTGAGAGTCGGTGTGCTGATGAGTGGCTCGGAGCGCTGTACTCTTGTTTCGGCGCACCGCTCGCAGGCTATCACAAATTGCTCTATTTCGCTGTTTAGAGTAGGCCACCAAACTGCGTCCCTTGCTCTTGCCTTGCAGCGTCCGATGCCCTGATGGCCTTCATGTATCAGCTGCAGTATCTAGTGTCGCAGCGAGCGCGGAATGAAGATGCGACGGTCTTTGAGTAATAAGCCATTACACACGGTGATGTTTCCGTGTTCCTTCCAGTTACTCTCGTAGATGCACAGGAACTCTGGACACATGCTCTGGCCACCCCTTCTCGCAGAAGCGTTGCAAGCCCGAGCAGATGCCGTCTTCTGCTTGGTGCTTTGGTAGGGCTTCCAGGCGGGATAACACAAAATCAGCGGCTGCTGAAATCACTTCGCCAACGAAGAGTTCTATGGAGTCCACCCGACGTTGGCAGTGCTGATCCAGTTCCTGCACCGGGGCCCTTGACAGGGCGTCCGCCGTAGCTAAAAGTTTGCCGGGGACATAAAGAACGGTGAACTGGTAGCGCATGAGGCGGATGCGTAGTCGCTGAATTCGAGGTGGCATCAGATCCAACTCCGCAGATCCCAAGAGCGTGACGAGAGTACGATGGTCCGTTTCGATTTGGAAGTCGATGCCTCTCAAAAGCTGATCGAGGCGCTCGACCGCCCACGTTACGGCCAGGACTTCTTTTTCGGTCTGGCTGTAGCGCGTTTCGGTGGTTGTGAGAGCCCTTGATACATAGGCCACTGCCCGTCTCTCGCCGGAGGGCTGATCTTGAAGCATGACGGCCTCGAATTCGTAAGAGCTTGCATCAGCTGAAACTACTGTTGGGTAGGACGAGGTGTACTTGGCCAAGCAGATATGGGAGCTAAGCATGCTCTTTAGCTTCTCAAGGGCAGCTTGCTGACTTGGTCCCCAGTACCACGAGTTGCGCTGTTGCAGCAGTTATCTGATTGGCGCCGTGACGTCCGAGAGGTGTGGGATGAAGCGCCCCACGTGGTTCGCCATCCCTAGCAGTCTTCGTACCCCACCGACGTCCGAGGGTGTCGGCAACTTCTGCAGGGTCTCGATCTTTTCGGGATCCGGGCTGATTCCTCTCGCGCTGACCAACACGCCGAGAAACTTGACTTCTGAGGCAGCGAAACTGCACTTATTCTTGTTCAGCTTGGCTCCTGCCTCGTCGAGCCTTTGCAGCACTTGCTGGAGTCGACGATCGTGCTCGTCCTTTGATTCGCCGAAGACGAGAATGTCGTCGATCATGCTTACAACTCCTTCCAGTCCCTCTAGAATGCGACTCATCTGTCGCTCGAAGTACTCTGGCGCTGAATAGATTCCAAAAGGCAGCCTGCGGAAACAGAACCTTCCCATCGGGGTTATGAACATCGTCAGCCCCTGACTTTCTTCGAAAAGCCTCACTTGGTGGAAGCTTGCAGTGGCGTCCAGCTTCGAGAAAACCTTCGCCTGCCCGAGACGCCCGAGGATGTTCTCAACCGAAGGTAAAATGTGACGCGCCCTCAGTGCGACTTCGTTGAGGCGCGTGAGGTCTACGCAGATGCGGAAGCCTCGTCCTGTCTTCGGAACGACGATCATGCCCGCGCACCAGTCTGTGAGGCGGTCAACCTTCCGGATGACTCCTTCAGACTCTAGCTTCTTGAGCTCCCCACGAACGACGTCGTGCTGCGGGATCGGGACCCTCCTTTGCACGCTTAGAGCGAAGGGCTTGGCACCAGGTCGAAGTCGGATGACGTACTCCTCCTTTAGCTCCCCCAGACCGTCGAAAAGCCTGTCTCTCCGCAGCACCGCTGGTGTCGCCACATTGTCGACAAACTGAATGACGCCCAGCGCTTGTATTGCTGGGAAGCCGAGAAGAGGGGCGGTGTTGTGAAGGCATGACGTAAATGTCCTGCAAGGTCGACTTGTCCCTCCATTGCAGCGTTGAGGGGAACGTGCCCAGTACTTCTGGAGCTCACCTTCTGGTGCACGAAGCTTTTTCGGTACTCCAGGGAATGAACTCGACACCACGGTCACCTCCACTCCAGTGTCCACTTTGAAGTTCACGTTGTTTCCGTTGACGGCCACGGTTGCGAACTTGACTCTGGTACGGGCGCCTGCCACAACTGTGTGGAGCTCGACAGATTCCATGGTTTTTTTTTTCGCAGACGGCTTCGAAGTATCCAACTTTCTTGCACCACCTGCATCTTGCCTCTTTTGCAGGACAGTCGGAGTGGGGTTGAGGTGCCTTGCCACAGAACCTAGCTGCAACGTCCGTTGCTTGTGCAAGGCTTGGAAGTCCTCATTGCGCCTTCCCCCGTGCCTTACTACCAGAGCTGGTGAGTGGATACATTTTTTTTTGCTATTCGCACAGTCCTGTTCGAAGACCCTACGTAGTAACAGCAAATACGATAAAGGCTAGTGCTGGAAATTCTTTCGAAAGCCCGTGGAATTAGTTGCCAAAGATGACAGTGGCACCTCTGTAGCGTACCATGGAGCCTACGGAAGTAAACGATATAATCCGTTTTGTAAGCCCCATTTTGTTTTCCCAAACGTTGAAACAATTCATTACGGTTGTGCGCTTCAACCACGGAATTCAATGAGCACAACTACAGTGACAGCGAAATTATAGGGTCACAAAAGCAGACATTTGTTTAGGTATTATGCCATCGGCATGCTTATCCTACGTTATCCAGGGGATTACACACGTTTGGTACGTCTCTTTCAAGAGACTTCCCGAACGTTTTCCGGAGGGAATGTATTTTCCGCCTATTCAGAACGTAAGAATGTTAGCGCGAGCAAGCGATCGCCGGTTTTTCTATGAGAAACCTAAGTTATAATTGCTGGGGGAAAAGCTCATTCGGGTTTATAATGCAGGTGATAAAATACTCTTTAGAAGTAAATGCGACAAAGTGTCAATGTCGTGTTCGCGCTAGCGGTGTTGTGATGTGTACTGTGGCGTCCTGCCCGAAGATGCACGTCTCGGGCGAAGCATTTCGCGACAAATTTGTGCGACAAATAATACGTGAAACAGTAGAAATAAAGAGTACCGTAAAGAATTTGCCAAACAGTACGAAAAAATCGAACCCGTGCGGAACGCCAAGCCAGCCAAGCGCTACCGCTGCCTGCGCTCCGCACTCCGGCAGCACGCCTACTACACGTTGCGCCCTCCCGCGGCCACCGATCCGGTCATCGCTGAAAGAGCCCATCCTCCGCCCGCGCTCGCTACACTGCCCAGTATTTTTATAGTGCACCGTAACAAAGTCGAACCGGTCGATCTGCTGAAAAGTTCGAAGGTTCGTCGAACCAGTTCGACCCAGTCGAACCCCAAAGTTCGACCTATAATTCTAGCTCGACAAATGTTCGCGACACCCCTAGTTACAGGAATGCCATCCCCCGTCTCCCTAGCGGACGCGCCGCGAATTCGCACCGAAGTTAAGATGAGCCTTGGTCGGGACGCGCTACCTGAAATCGCCGCTGAGGCATGGTTGTATGACAAATATATTAATTGTACTGTAAAACCTTGCAAACTAAAGATTTTAGAATTATCACGCGCCCCCCATTTTGTACTAAACTCTTATAAAGTTACTACAAAAAAAGCTTTCTTCCGTTAGTCTTTAAGTTTCTAGTAACGTTGAAACATACGTATCCTGATTCAGTTACCAAAGCAGCCGGCTCTGGGCTTGGCGGGTCGTGGTGAGTGAGGGGGGTACTGTTCGTGCATGCGGCGTCTATGAGCAGTTCTGTAACTGAGGTAATCGAGTAACGTTGGCAGGAGCATAGAGTTATTACAATAAACGCTAGAGGCTCAGCTGGCGCTAGTTTGCTGTTGTATTTTGAAGCAGACAGCAAGCAGTCAGAAATTGACTTCCGGTAATGCATTTCTATGGGAAAAAGCGAGTGCATTTTCTCTCTGCGCTCGATTATAGGAGCAAATATCACGAATAATTTGTACGTATTGGGCACATTGGAACATTTCTCAGTCACGCAGATGAAATAATTGGTCAGTTACAGCATTTTTATTTGAAATTCGCGGCATTAAAAACGGTGTTAAAACCGCTTCGTACGTGTATTTATGTGCACTGTCGGACACTGTGAGCGCGAACACTGCGTCGACGCTTTCCAGCATGGGGGATACACGTGCCAAACGAACGAACGACATGGGGAAAACCAAGAGAGACGGCAAGAACTACGCCGTAACACTGAGTAAGTAACTCCTTGTGCTTGAAGACGATCAATATAAGTTGAAAGTCACGTAATATAGTCCGATTTGCAACAAATAAGTACTGCTTTATTCTTTCTGCTCATGAATATGTGCGAAGATGCTTGTTTTGTGTTCAAATCATCACCCGCACGCTCCAAATCTTTGCAAAACGGGGAAGCCAGAGGAGAGGTGCGCGATAAAAACTGCCCAACATAGGAAATAATAAGAAAACACACCTTTCGTAGCCCACGTACTTTATTCTTTACGTTTCGAACGTTTTTTTTTTGTTTCTTTTTTTTTAACCTCGTAAAGATGCACGACGGGGTCATTTTCATATATTGAGAGGAAAGGCACAATAGCAATATATAAGCATCAACGGAATGCTGGCGAACTTTGAACACACTCTACATTTCTTCCGATCGTTATTTTGCTTAGAATCGTCGCTCGTTTCTACATACCTGCCATGGAACAAAGGTTTGGGCCTGAAATATAGCGAAGTTTAGCATCTTTCAGTGATAAAGGAAAAATACTGTAACTAAAGCAATTACACTTTCACAATATTAATAAAGGTACATACTACCCGGTACAACCGAAATAACAAAACTTATCATGTTATGTTCCGGCGACGAGACATCATTCACGCGCGCTTTCCCATAGGAATACACAGGAAGACTGGAAAAGTAGACTGCATGCTGTCTGCTTCAATTTGCAACCGGAAGTGCCGTAGACACTAGCGCCAGCTGAGCCTCTAGCGTTTATTGTAATAACTCTATGGGCAGGACCCTTACAAAAACGGGTCTCAAAATTCTTTTTAATTTTTTTAGACTTCTTATTGACTTTCCGCGATCCTATTGAATTCCTTTATAAACGCACTTTGTTTTGACCATTGTCAAAAAACTTTCAAAAGAAAAAATATTGAATTTTTTTGTAGACTTATTTATAAAAAAATTAAAAAGAACTTGTAAAGACGTTTTTCTATAGGATATTTTCTAAAAAAATTCAAAAGGAAAAACAATAGATTTTGTTTTGTAGACTTATTTATAAAAAAATTAAAAAGAAGTTGTAAAGACGTTTTTCTGTAGATTATTTTCTAAAAAAATTCAAAAGGAAAAACAATTGATTTTGTTTTGTAGACTTATTTATAAAAAAATAAAAATAAGTTGTAACAACGTTTTTTGTAGGTCATTTTCTAAAGAATAAAAAGAAAACCTATTGACATTATTTCTTTATAATATTTTATAAAAAGAGCCTTTTTTATTATTTTATTTGGTCCGCGGTCGTGTGCGGGGTTCGATATGACGGATGTTTTTTTGTTTTTTTTTACTTTTTATTGAAAATGTGTTTTCTTGTTCACTTTGATTACTTTATTTCGACTGACTTCTGTTGACATGTTCAACAAAATGTTTGTTGATTTTGTGTTGAAACTTTTTTATGATTTTCTATTGACATTCTATTAACTCTACGTTGGATCTTTTTTCTGTTGACTTCCTGTTGAAAGTGTTATCAGAAATACTGCAGACGTTCTATTTACTTCGTGTTTAAATTATTCAGTTGACCTTCTGCAGCCAGTGTCAAAAGAAAAACTACAGACTTTCTGTTGACTTTTTATTGAACATAATACATCTTGACTAAATGTCAAAAGTCACTAAGTTTCTCAATAGTCTCTGACAAGTTGAGAACCATAGGGAGGAGCTTCCGTTCTCCTGCCTCCAGTGCGAGCCTTCTATCCTTGACAACTCTTCGACGTCTCGCGCCCCTCGAGCTCGACTGCGCAGTCAAAGCACGACGGAAGGCATGGGGCGCGTGCTGGAGGGCAGGCGTTCGAAAAACACGCCCTGCCGTTCTCACTTTGTAAATGGCAATCGTTGCATTATTGACCCTATTCAACTAGTAAAGAAGAGCAAAATAACTATTTTAAAGTGGAGCAACCGCCTTGACTGGCTTCGTCCCGAGTGGTGCTATGCAGAGAAGCGATAAACATTTGTTCTATGAGCCGTTTTTGTGGATGTTGTTTTAGCGACTACACGAAATTATTATTAGTTGTACCAATGCTTTTTAGTAAGAGATAGAGTCCACGAACTTCGAAACACTGTCTTTCCTTTGACAGACTTTCGAGAAGGAGACCGGAGACTTGGAAACTTAGTAAGTGCTGAGGTGGTCACCGGCCAAATGATTACCTTCATTATGTAGGCTATATAAGGCTCTGGTGCTGTAAAGGACTGTGTTTCTGGTGTTGAGTGCTTGATGGTGTTTGTGTTTGTTTACATTGCTTATTTGTGGGATGTGTATGTATGAAAGAGACACTATTTCCTAACGAAATTAAAAAATATAGTAAAAAATTTTGTTTTTTTAGCGTTAATCTGCGGTTTTGTCAAAAGGAATTCAACAAAATTTATGTAAGAAAGAATTCAAAAGAATGTATGTAAGAAGGAATTCTAAAAAATTTAAGTGGCCAATTTTAACTAGGAGTTAAATAAGTTGTCAAAAGAAAGTCTAAAAAACATCAAAAGAGTTTAAAAAGAAATTCAATAGGACTCCAGAAAATTTTCAACAAAAATTCAAAAGAATTTAACTACAGATTTTTGTAAGGGGAGGACGCATGACCTCACCGAAGCGTTTACTCGATTCGAGGAAGGTAGCTACAAAAATAATCGTAATCAGCTTTATTAAGTCAAGCGTCTAGGGATTATTCCCCCTCCCCAATAATAATTGCAGCGGTTAAAAACAAAATAGTGCAAAAACAAAAACAAAAAAGGCACAAAGGTTCAAGGATAGGTGGCGCAAGTCACCGTCTATTAAAAAGATGCAACCCGTTATGGTTCATCTCTAAATTCATTCATGAACGAGAAAAAAAAAGTCGTTCTATAATTTCGTAAATTATGTTGCTGTTTTAAAAAAAGTAATTAAACAGTGTGCGCTTTTGATGAAACTATGCCCTGTGTCATCC